TATTTGTTTACAAAACTTTGTAGATCAAGTTTTTAAATAACAATGCAAATTTAAACCCCATGACCTAGTTTTTCTTTTTAGCTTACAATGTGTACAATAGAATTTATGGCAGCCTATCGAATAGCAGGATGCCATTGTTTATGTCGCCATTACGTAGGAAACCAAATTGTTTTTGCTTTTTTTTTTTTTTACATTTTTTATTTAGTTACCGAAAATGTTAAAAACATCAACTACATCCAATCTTTAGTAAAGTCCGAAAAAAACCAGACAGACAGGATTTTATAACCATATTAATTGTAACTACGCCATGCAAGATTTTTAAATTAATTAATGGGCCTCTCGAATACTTTCTCGCTCACATCCATTGAATAGTAGATTTTAAATTATGCCTTAAATAAAATTTAGAGAGAAAAATATAATAAAATCATAACTAATGTTCATATGGCCTAGTACATAGTAAGGCAGGAATAATCAAATCATTATCATTAATGTTATGTTTAAGCTATGCAGGGGTGCCACTTTTCCAGGCTAACCAGGATTTCCAGATTCGAGAGTCGTATTTTGTTCACTTTCCGGATTCGCAAAATTTGATATTAAAATTTCCTGGTATTTGTAGTTTAAAAAATAGACGGTTTTAAACTTGAGAAATGTTTTAATTAGCAAGACTCCTGGGCCTTTTTACAGCTTATGGCCCCTAATGCCTTTCACACATGCGTAGATGATACAACATCCACTACTGTGAAAGCAAGGCTAGTAATCAACTTGACGAGACATCATTTTTACGCAGATTATTTCGTTTTTCTTCACGTTGAAAAAACTTAAGGAATCATAAAAGAAAATCAGATTGGTATAAAAAATTTAAGTTCGAATGCAGTCATCTTTACTCTATAGACACAGGGGTGCCACTATTCCGGGATTTTCCGGATTAAAGAACCGTATTTTTTTCACTTTCCGGATTTGCAAAATTTGGAGTTTAAAAATTTCCGGCTTCCCAGTTCTAAAAAAAATATTTAAATTATAAAATTCGTTATCGCATTTTTACTGCTTATGGCCCTTGTCGTCTTTCGCGCATGCATAGGTTGTACCATATCCATTGCTGTGTAAGCTAGCCCTAAACCTAGTGATGTCATTAATATTACGTTGCTACTTTCGTTTTCTTAACTGACACTGAAACATGAAAGAACTTAAACATCTAAGTAGAGAAATTTGATGTGTATGAAATTTAAAGTTCGAATGCAGTATACTGTAATTTATAGCAGGAAACCATTTTGCTGGACTACAACATTTATAAATGCTTCTCTGACCATTACTGGCCTTTGAATACCCTACATCATGCCGACATGACAGTCACTGCAACCTTATTTTCCAATGCTTAATTTGATTTCATTGTGACCTCGCAGTGTTGTAAAGTTGTAGTGACCTAAATTAAATTTCTTAAATAATACTAGGATCGCACATAAAGCAGTCTTTACTACACTGATAAGAATTTGATTCATTAGTTTGAAAAGAATAAATGGTAATTTTTTTAGCTAGAATCTGAACCACTCATAATAATTATCTACAAAATTTGTTCAAAAGAAAAATTAAGAAGACTTACTAATTAAACTTTAAATAAAATTGGAACAGTTTAAGGAAATATTGAAATACTCACTACTAGTTGTCAGTAAACCTGTAAACAAACAAGGCTTTAGTTGTCATACTCAGCTGTACAACATCACACACTTGAGTCTATTTTGTTGTGTAATCATTAACCCTTGTTACAAATTAGGCACTAGATGTTTGTAACACCGCAGGCCTACTCTCCAAAATTGTTATATACAATAAGTCTATTTTTGGCTGGACCACAGAACGTAAATGTTGCTGTGAAATAACATACTACACACTTTACACAGAGCTTACACTTGTCAAGCGCTTGTAGTGCTTGTAGTAGAGAATGGCGGCTGATATGAAAGAGTGAAGCTGTAGTCAATTTTAATATTATTAACCATTCATGGCCCATACGAGGACATAAAATGCTGTATCAACAAGGCTAGATGTGCCTTCAACTCACTGCGCCCGATGTGGAGGTGCACGGCACTGTCACTCCGGAGCAAAATTGGGATTTTCAACACAAATGTCAAGGCAGTGCTGCTCTATGGCTTGGAGGGTTACGAAGACAAATACTGATAGGCTACAGGCATTCGTAAACAAATGCTTACGACATATACTTAAAATAAAATGGCCAGACAAAATATCAAAGACCTGTGGCAAATTTTAAAGCAACAGCCAATAGAGAAAGATATCAAGGCCGTAAATGGGGATGGATTGGACACACGTTAAGAAGAGAAAAAGAAAATATAGCAAAACATGCTATGGACTGGAATCCCCAGGGAAAAAGGAAAGTGGGCTGTCCAAAGAAAACACGGAAAAGAACGGCTGAGGAAGAGGCAAAAACAGCTGGGCTCACATGTGCACAGATTAAGGGAGGAGCCCAAAACCGAGTCCGCTGGAAATGTAGTTGCAGCCCTCTGCTCCCCAGGGGGCCACAAAGGAATGATGATGATGATGGCCCATACAATCTCTTAAAACACCACCCTTGGCATCCCAATATAAGGGGCATAACTCTGTATGAACAAGTGAACCCTTTACAAAATATTCAATTGTTTAAATGAAATTAATAATTAAGATAAAAAGTAATGTACAATGTGGGAGTTAAATCTGGCTTTCCAACAATATTAAATAGAACAAAATATAAGTACAGTATAAAAATTAAAAATGTCAGAGAAAATCCTAAATAGGTCATTTGGGGTAGTCAACTTTTATTATTTTTGTTTAAACAACTATGATTTTAATTAAAAAGTTGAATATCAATTTATGTATAAGACATACAATTCATAAAAATACATGCCTAGATACGCTTTTAGACAGGTTTTTTATTATATTTTAAATTAAAAATTAAACAGGACAGATGAGTGTAAAATTTCTGGATGGAAAGTATTTTTCAAGATCGCATTTTTATTTTCTAGAAATTGTTAGTGAAATTTGGCTTTCATTTCTAAATTAAATAAAATTAACATTTTTTAAGGGAAAGTGAAAATATGCAGTCCTATGCACCAGTATAATTTACTTAGAATAGTAAAGCCTCATCAGGTTTAGTTTTGAAAGTATTAAATAGTGGCACCTCAACATATGTGTGCCCAGACAAGAGATTTTTTGAGATACATGCAGCCATGAGGGTGATTTATTGCTTTAAGAGCAAAATTTGAGTTACAAGTAAATGGATCCTCTGGTTTAAATGTTCAATACAAATAACATCTGAAACCGCTCAGATGAAAATGAGTAAAGCATGTAATAAATGAAAAGACTAGTGATGAGAAAAGCAATCACGAAAATTAAGCAAAAGTAATAATAAATTATCAAATAGCATTAAAGTTCAGGGTTGCCTACTTGTAAGGTTTTGTCAGTAATTTTGGGAATTTGAAACCCAAGTAAAAAATTTACAACTATGCCATGAAGATTAGGTTTGTTGTGCCTTCAGTCAGTATCAAAATGGTCTGAGTTTTTTATATCCACATCCTAAGGTTTAAATAATAAAAGAATAGCCTAAACTATGCGAATGTAGGTTTCTATGTATTTATAAAATTATCTGGTTGTGAGTAAAACGCATAAGGGAAAATCGTAGCTGCGGAATTATGGGTAAATAATTAGCAACATAAGTTACTGAGGCCCATCTAGATCAATTTTGAGTTGTATTTTAAAAAAAAAAATCTTTTCTGCTAAATATAACCTAGATAACAATCTAGATTTTTTAAAAATCAAGAAATATGCTAATTATAAACACCATAACCTGTGTGATCAGCCTCTCTCAGTTTCCTATGAGTGGGAGAAAAATCCTCACATGGTTGAGAGGTCACTTAGTTCAATTTGGTTTAGATATTTGTAGTGTAGGCCTGTATCGTAGTTCATACTACTCATAGCAAAGAACAAATCCTATTTCAAATTTTCCATTGTCGCCTTACATGCTGAATTTCGCTGCTTTTTTAAAAAATTAGTCTATGTCTTTAAAGTAAAAAGTAGCATGAGTAACATAACGTAGCAGTTGCCATCATTAGGCAAATTTTTGTGATATTATAAAATTGGACTTATTTACATTGCATTAAAAATTTGAACAAATACTGACAGTTATGGACAGTATCCAATTATTACAGAAAATCTATGCTCTTGTTACTGAAAAAAACTTTTTTGGTAGGCAGCCCTGAAAGTTCAACTTTGATTAGTGAATTTTAGTAAAGTTACGTTTAGTTGTTAAGTTTAGAATTATATGTAACCAGTAATTTCATTAGAGTGACCTAAAGAGTTTAGCTTTATGTTTTTACAAAATTTATTTATAAACGCATTTTCATATAAAAATTATATAATGAAAACTCATGGGGTAACCAAATTGGGGCAGGCTGAAACAGATTAATAGCATTTAATAAAATTTTATTCAAAAACTTCTTTGAGATAATTACAATTTGACATATGAGTAATAATGTTACGAAATTAATAAAATTCATATCTTGATGTACTACACAGAATCCTTTTCTCAGTCCAAAACTATCAATTTGACACCACACCTTTCCATCAATCACTAAATTAGTTAATAAACTAAAAATGAGTCCACTTGGACTCATTGAAATGAAAAATTAATGACCTTATAAGTAATTTTAGAAAATGGTTTTATTTGTTACTTATGACATCATTTAGTACATCATAATTTTATCAGTTAATAGTGTAAAGAACCATCAAATTCAGCTGTAGCAAACATTAAAACTTTGCATTTGTGACAGTTTATTGCATTAATATCTTGCTTTTTTCCAAACTATTTACATGTATATATGTTTTGCACAGGTTGCAAGTAGCTGGGGTTAATTTTTTTAGCAAAAACGTTTAACCTGACCTGTTACTCCTTTTTTCACTTCAGTTTTAATATACATTTTATTATATATATCCATGTTTTTATCATTTCTCTTTTTCTATAGATTTTAACTGAATTTTTTTCTTTCGGATTTTAGAGAAGGTATTTATATTTTTAAGTGTTTTTTTTTTATTTATCATATACTACAACCTAATTTTTTTTTTAAAAGAAATTTCTATAGAGATAAACCTTTATAATTCTAATTCAGTCATTTTAAGCCTCCTCTGTGGTACATTTCTAAGCAAATACATTTCAAGAGAATCATTTTTCTCTGAGATGTGTATTGTTAGACCAATAGTCTTGTTTTGTCAGTTTATTAAGGCAATTAACGTTCGTTTTATCTTATTTATTCTTACCCTTTGATGAACTTATTATAACAATTTCCCAAAATATGTGCTGATCTACAATTGTATCTAGTGTTAAGAAAATCCCTCTAAAGAGAAGATATAAGAGCCTTAAATTTTATTCTTTTTGTTTCTTATTTTTTGGTTCTAGGTGTATTTGAACATCAAATCAACACACTGCTAGACATCACTATTTTTTATTTGCTGATTGGCACAAATTGTTGACCTTTAAATCAGTTGTTTAAAAAAACAACTTTCTAGACAATTATTTTTGCAATTTTAAAAATTAGCTTAGTCTTTTCGAAACATTCGATAGTTACAGATTTATTTATTGTACCTACCCATTCAGTACACTGTTAAGAATAGAGTTCAAATTTCAGAAGCAAACAAAGTGTAGAGAAGTATTGTTTACGTGCTAAAATTTATATATTGATAAAACTCAACATTTTGCACACTTTGAATATTCTAGCTTGCAATCATGTCTGTGTACATGATGACTTGTGTACTGCTTCAGGTATCAAGTACACATTCTATATTTTAGGTTTCTAACTTCTTTTGAGTGCTTTCCTTTGACTGAAAGTGGTACTTTATTTCTTCTTAAAAACAGTCATAATTTGATATAATTTCTTACAAAGCAGCATATTCTAAGAACTTTTTGCTTATGTAGGTCTAAAATTGACCTAAAGCACAGTCTTTTTTTTTAAAACTATCCATCCAGTCTTTTTTGTGTGTTGTTTATGAATAAAAATGAGAAAATGAGCATGAATGATGTCAGCATCTTGTGATGATTTGATGTAGAATATAGTCCAATTAGAAAAGAGGACCACCACACTTGCATCATTGTTTTTCAGTTTTCAGTGGTTTACTTCTTTTCCTTTCCAGATCTACTAGTTCTTGTGAAATTATTTATGTTTGTTCATTTACAAAATTTAGGTGGCATTGTTTTTATTAAAACTTTAAGAGTTCATTATGTAGGCCTACTAGTATTATGGTCTACACCAGCAAATGAAGTTTTAATATCCTTAAAGGCATATAGTTTGCATATATTCACCCATTTAACTTCAGTTTTAGAATGTTAAAGCCCTATTTCAATTTGCAATTTTATTTGTTAAATGAATAATGATTTTCATATGATTGATGCTCATTATACAAAAGCTGTTATGCTTTAATATAATTTTTTTTAGTTATCTCAAGTTGTATTATAGTATCAAGTTTAAAAAAGCATATTATGAAATTTGCACAACTGCTCCTGTGCCTTATGGTCTACGTTGTAGGCTCTAATGCTTTGAGTACCGAGTACACTATAAAACATACTTACTGTCTTAAGTATTAGCAAGATTGGCACTTTACCTTTTAATATTTAAACTAACCTCCCTTCTTTCTTTCCCTTCAGGAGGCTTTTTAATTTTTTTTTTGTTTATATTTTTTTTCTCCTCTCCCCTTGCCCCACCTACCAAAATAAATGCTTCTGATGATGACCATGGCTTTTATCAGCATTGGTAATAACACCCTGTGCAACTCAAGAATAGCAACACATCTGCAACAATGGAAGATCAAAATGATGGTAATTTCTTTATTGATGGTAAACAATTTTTTTATTCATTATGAATTTTTGTTGATTTTTTAAAAACACTATCCTTAATAACCAACCTGTTAGCTAACACAAGTCCAGTAGTTTGATGTGATTGTTTGGAAATGCTTGTTAACCTTCACCGTACGTCATGGATGGAATCCACACATTTACATTTAATTCTTAAATGTCTGCCTAGTCACACTATTATGTCGTGAGTGGAAAACACTCAGTGACAAAAATAAAGAAGTTAAATAAAACTTAAATAAGTACATGAACTTTAAACAATCTACTTATGGCAGCTAAACAATCGGGAAATTAAGGGGCAGTATTCTGATAGTTTTGGGCTCTGAACTACTCTTGAACTTTTGGGGTAATTCAAGGACACTTTACTAACATCATACTGGACAACAAATTTGACTTGCTCACTGTGCAATGAAAAATTTTATGCTTAAAACGTGATTTGATGAATGGAGGAAGGAAAACAAAGACAATTAAATATTCATTGGTCCAATTACAGAGCTTTGGAAAATTTTCTCTGGATACTTTGTACCTAGAAGTTGCATCATAATTTGCACATGAATCATCAAATTTCGTGAAAGGTGTTCTGTCATACTAAAACTAAACTAGATAAGCATGGCATCAAAATTTGCATGTGATACAGAAACGTTTTACTTTGGCAAACTAGCATGTTCAAAAGTGGTGTCCAATGGGGTCTACGTCATTTGCCCGAAGGCTGAATTCCCGAATGGACACTTGCCCGAATGAGACAAATGCCTGAATGGTCACTTGCCTGAATGCGACAAATGCCGAATGGACACTTGCCCGAATGCGACAAATGCCCGAATGCCACTTGCCCGAAAAATGTAATCAATAATATATTACCAAATAGTCATTCGTAATCAATTTAAATTTGAAATTTTGATAAACAATACATATATTAACAAAAATAAAGGGAAAATATTAAATATAATATATGAACACGAAGACATTATTAATTAATTTGTATTTAAGTAGAGATCAAACATAAAAGACTAACTTTAGTTTTTAAATTAGCCGCCTAGGCCCCGCCCCATTCTTTTGTTGAATTATCACCTCACAAGTTCAGCATAACGAGATAAATCAAACAAACGCGCCTCTGTTCAATGTTGCGAGACGCCGCGCCCTATAAACCACCGCAACACGTCGGCTACACAAGGTGGTCAAAACTTACACATCAAAAGAATGTTAAGATACCGGCGCCAACATCACCGTACATTTATTAAAGAATAAAGAAATTTTATTACGGCAAGTTCTCATATTAAAAAAAAATAAAAGCTCAATTTTAAAAATATAAACAAATTTGTTTTTATGCTTAAAACTGTTATCAAAATTTCAAACTTGAATTGATTAGGAATGCCTATTTGGTTATATAATTTTTTATTCAATTTTTACCTTTTTCGGGCAAACGGCCTTAGGGCAAGTGTTCATTCTGGCATTTGTCGCATTCGGGCAAGTGTCCATTTGGGAATTCGGTCTTCGGGCAAGTGTCTTTCAGGAAAACGTCTGGCTTCCTGTCCAATGATATAGTTATGTAGCATATACAGCAGGGGTCTCCAAACTGCTGCCCACGGGCTGCATGCGGCCCGCGAAGTCCTCTCATCCGGCCCGTAGATATCTTTTTGTCCACGAAAAAAAAAAGTTTGTTGGAGGTGGCTGAGGAACTATGCCCAGAAAATTCAAAACAACTTGAAAATGTAGCGTTGGGTGCTAATACAATTGCCCACCGTGTTGCAGACATTGGTGAAAACATTGTGACTCAAATAGCGAAAAATACAAGCAAGTTTTCCTATTTTTTAAATTGCAATGGATGAGTGGCTAGGCAGCTGTTCTACCTCTTTAACTGCTTATGTTCATTAGAGGTGCTGATGAAGACATGAACCTTAACACAAGAGCTGTCTTCCCTACATAACATGTATATCACTGTTGCCCGAGACGATATATTCAATGAGTTAACATTTGCTGATTATAACTTGGACTTGACTAACCTCAGTTAAGTGACTGTTGATGGGAGAAAGTACATGCGTGGCAAAAAGAAAGTCTTGGTTGGACAAGCGAATAAGAAAAAATATTCTACAACCAATGTTTCTGCACGGTATTATTCTCCTGTATTTTCTCCTGGAGGGGGACACTTGAAATGTGTATATATATATCTACATAAATTATATTTCATCGGTGGGGGGGGGGGGGAGGAGAGAGTAGACGTTCTTTGAGAGGGGGGATGCTCTGCCACCTGGAAGAAACTCTGGCCCCCGAACTAATATTTGATACTTAATGCGGCCCTCTGATTAAAAAGTTTGGAGACCCCTGATATACAGTATTGACACTTTGCCAACCTCATGGGTAATGATGACCAAAGCACAAACATAAAGCAGGCCCAACCATTCATCCATGCTTTTTATTTTAGAGATTACAAAGCACGACTTGACATGCAAACATTCACCAATACACTTTTTATTGTTTTTCTATATAACATCTAAATTGTTTTTCTCTTTATAAATGTATTTGGGTGGATTCCACCCATAAAGAATGGCAAGGTTGGTAATCTTGAGTTACGGGGAGGGTCAAAGATAGGTATGATGAGGGTTAAGGATGTTTGAATAGTTTCTCTGTGAGGGTTAAGGATGTTTCTATATAAGGTTATTGTCTTTTTCTGTCACTGTTTATAATTAGATTGAGGAACAACAAGACTGCACATTACTTAATAGCTCAGTACAGGATAATGAAATTCTGAATCATGTTTAATTATCAGATCTGCATGAGTTATGCTAACATTTCAAGATAAAATTGGGTTGTAGTGAGGATTTTTAAAAATGTAATTGTTACATTTTTGTGACTTTTTTGAGGATAATCAGCTTGGCATCATTTTAAAAAACTACCTTTAGGCATTTCTTCCCACTGATTATCGACCATTCATGTTTAAACAGTTCTTTGCATCCAAACTTCCATTAGGAATTTTTTAAACAGTACGATATTTAAACATCTTTCATTTTGATAAGTACTGCTTTAGAAAGGTCATTCCAAATTTAATATCCAGATACTAAATTTAACTCATAACATGACAGTATTGACAGTTTACTTGCAGATATTCTACATTAAGGCTAAACTTTTTGTACCTCTTCAGCCAAATCATTAGTTATCTGCACCAATTTTTAGCAGAAATCCAATTTTTCAGCTGATTTTTGTTGATTTTTACGAAGTTTTAAAAATTAGAACAAAATAATGGAAATGACCTTTTATGGAAACTGCCAACACGTGCATTCCACATATTCCTATTTAAATCAAGTATTATAGTATCATAACAATTTACAGCTAATGAGCTATTCCAAAAACATAAATAACGATGTGGCTGGGCTATCAAAATTGTTAATTTTGGTTTAGATATCAGACCATTTCTAATTTCAGTTTATCTAGTAGATTTCATTTTCCATCACATGAGCCAAAACTTTCAAATTACAATTAATCTAGGCTCTTTACAGTTAAAAACTAACATTTTACCATGCCAATCTTTAAAAGAATATAAGGCGGAATTTAAATTTGAAAACAAGAGTACAATCAGACAAGATTAGTACAGTTTAAATTAGCTTAATGTTAAAATAAAACTTAATTGCCACTTTTGTTACATTGTAAAAAAAAAAATTTTTTTTTGAAAGTTGTTTATAAGGTAAACATGAAATTTTTCGTTTGCTGCTTTGTTTACAAATGTATTCAGAGATGCATCTTTTCCGCTTTTTTCAGAAAGAAATTTTCTGGCAAAAATATTTTTCTGCCAACAGACTTTTGGAAAAACATCAATGTTTTCAGCTGATCTATTTTTCCGTTTGACTACCCATATTTGAATGGTCCCCTCCAGCTTCATGACTGTTTTACTGGTTTTACAGAATAATGCTGTTCACTCTGTAACTAGCTTAAATTATTTGGGGATGTGCAATAGTCAACGCTGTGTAAACTAACTGGCCATTTGAATGTGCTACAGCTGTTTATTTAAAAAAAATTATTTACTTTCAATTTACCCACAATTTTCTATAACTTTATAAAGCTTGTCAGAAGTTGTCAGAAGTCCCTGAAAAAAATTATTGGAGAGGTGGGATCCAACTTTTTGATGCAATTTGTTGTGTGGGTACAATTCGGCTCATTAACGCGACGTCATTTATGTAAGACTGCTTGGCTGCGCCTTATATATAACTTAACCGAAGTGGTTCTTTATAGGATTATCTCCAGCTTTTCTACGGAAATCTTTTTTCCTACAAAAAATTGCTGCGCCTTATATATAACTTAACCGAAGTGGTTCTTTATAGGATTATCTCCAGCTTTTCTACGGAAATCTTTTTTCCTACAAAAAATTGCTGCGCCTTATATATAACTTAACCAAAGTGGTTCTTTATAGGATTATCTCCAGATTTTCGACGGAAATCTTTTTTTCCTACAAAAAATTGCTGAAAGCTATGGTTGTGCTGATTGTGAGGCCTATGACACAAGACCGCACTAGCACATACAACAAGCGCTTTTATTTGAATATATAATTTTAACGTGATTATTTTGAGTTTTTTACTAAATTTTGGAAGGAAACAACCCACCCGATCTATGTAATAACTTTTGATAAAACAATTGTAGGTTTACTATGATGTGATTACATGATCAATCAGTGCCTAGATCTAATGGTCTCTTAAATTGCATTTTAGCCACCATGACTGCAACCCCCCCCCCCCCCCCCCCCCCCCCCAAGAAAATTCTAAATTCCTCTTTTTTTCTTAGGTCTTGTATTTAAAAAACTAGAAAACAAATTACAGATATATCTCACTCTCATCTGTATACTGTATGCAATTCAAATCTAATCTAAATTTGAACACTTACTAAACTTGACATTGATGTTATTGCTGTACCTTTTAATATTGGAAAAAATGTTTGTAAACCTACAAATTTTACTAGATAACCATGAAGAACTGCTAGAGTAGTTTTATGTGCCATTTTTTCTTCATTAGACAATGTGTACATGACAAGGTTTATATTTAATAGCTCTGAGCATTATAATCTAGATTAATATGTTTTATCTATTCCATTGAAATGTGTTCTTGCTATTGATTATGCTGTGTGATAGCACATTTTTTATTTTTCAGATTCAAGCAGCACCAACTTGATCATCAATTATTTACCTCAGACATTGTCAGATGATGAGTTCAGATCGATGTTCTTAAGTGTTGGTCCAATTAAGAGCTCCAAAATAGTAAGAGATAAAGCAACTGGGTATAGCTATGGCTTTGGTTTTGTTGATTTCCAACATGCAGCTGATGCTCAACGTGCAATTGAGACACTTTCAGGCTTGCAATTACAAAATAAAAGAATCAAAGTAGCATTGGCCAGACCTGGTGGTGATCAAATAAAGGGTGCAAACCTTTATATCAGAAATTTGCCTGTTCACTGGAAAGAAGGAGAACTTAACAAAATATTTGACCCTTTTGGAAAAATCATTCAGTCAAGAGTATTAGTAGATTTATCTACTGGAATTAGTAAAAGGGTTGGTTTTGTTCTGTATGACACTAGAGATGAAGCAGAAAGTGCAATAAAAGTTTTAAGTGGCAAAACTCCAGAAGGCTGCACAGAACCAATTATGATCAAATTTGCTGATGATAATACCAAAAAAATGAAACAGGGCACAGTACAGTATGTACCAATACCGAATTTTGCTGCTCCCGGCCCCATGAGGAACCAAATGAATCGCTTCCAACGCTTTAATCCTATGGCTGGCAATTTCAATGGTTCTCCTGGCGTCCCTCAAGCTCAGCAAGGGGGGTGAGTATTTTTTAATGTCTCAATTAGTTTTTATGAGATGCAACTTTTATGGGGGTTTTTTTCTTTCAGAAATCTGCCTTTTCTACTTATGGAAAATTTTCTCTGAAAAAGAAAATTGATATCTTTCTGCGTGCTGACTTTTTAAAAACAAAATGGATGTGTTTTCAGGCCAATATGACTCCTTTTTTTTACTCAGTTACTGCATTATTTGGTGAAAAAAGGAAAACTTATAAATTTATTAGTCTTATTAATCTTTTTTTTTTTTTTTTTGGAATTTGGTATGGTAAAATACCATTAAAATGTATGCTGAATTTATAATACAAAATTTTGAAAATGTGATTTTTTTTTTTTTAAAGTGTAAAGTGTAATCCTTTGCACAAACTAGCCAGCTTACTCTATTAGAGTTAGAAAAGAATGATCAATGATTATATGATCATTTTATAAGATAATTTTTTAACCTTAAGACCTGCACAAAAGCTTTTTTTTTCAATATGGCTGCTGTTGGCATGGCAACTATTTTAAAAAGAGTCCCTGATGCATTCAAATATGCAAATATTTTACCTGAAGTATTTAGATACACACTAATTTAAAAGAAGTCTTATTCAGTTTTTTTTTCCAGATACTACTCCCTTAACAATCTAGAAAGAATTATTTTTTAAAAGCATGACATCATGTATGGACAACTCAAAAACAAATTCCCCAAAAATATTGCCAATTAAGCTTCCAAATTCACTGCTCTATCAATTAATATCAACAACATTACCGAAAAATGTCTGGCTAGAAGATTATGAATGGGGAAGATCGAATATGCATTTTGCTGTCAAAAATCTGTTTACCGCCTAAAAGTCTCTCAGCTACAAGCCTACTTATTTTCTGATATTTGGCTAGTGAAATTTAAATATAAACAGCTCAATTTCCTAAAATAAATACTATAATTATGAGTGTACAAATCTTGCCTCATTTTATAAATATGTTGCTAAAACATGTATTAAGTCTCAAATTATTTTTTTTAAAGTATGGAAAATTTTTGGAGAAAGTATTGAAAATATCTTTAAAAAAAATGTCTGGAGTTTCATTTTCAAAAGTAGTACAAACTCTGTAAACATGAACATCATTGGTTTTTTCTTAAACGCATTATATTCTATTACTAATCTGTATACAACTTGCACCCTGTTCCATTTACATTGGCTTTTAAACATTGGTGTTGCAAAAATTTTAATTTCCATTCAGAACTTTTCCACTCTTAATCAGCGATGTATTTTCAAAAAAAAATTAAAAATTAGGAAAAGGGTATTCTAAATGTTGTCTGTCTAAATGGAAATCATATCTTACTGGCCCGGGTTCTTTACAGCTAATCTCACTGTCAGATATGTGGTAGTCTAGTTATAATTTACCGGTATTTTTAATTAGTTTCCATTTTGAAATTTTTTTCTACCACCTCCACCATTTCCAACTGCTTTCCATTTAATTTCTGAACTTCAAATTGATTTTGGAATCTTTGCAAACACATCTTTCTTTTTAGCACCAGTCACTTATTTCAAAACTTGAGTTCAACTCGCTGTGACCCAGAGTACGTGATTAATTCTGCTTGCTTGGAGAAAAAAAAATGACATCTATTCTGGTTGATCTCATTGTCTAGATCTTTAGTTATAAGGTTAAAATTACAATTTTGCTCTTGACTTTTGAAGACTTACCTTTTAAAAATGTAGATACACTTGCAGTATTTTGATAACAAGCTTTGATTAATTATGCACTAAAAGTAGAAGTAGAAAATAAAAATTAGGTTCTTTAAATATATAAGGCTCCACAATTACAATAATTATTTAAAATAAACCGGGAGTGATCTCCCCTAAACTTTCTCGAATATTCTTATATAAAACAACAGGGGATGGGAACTCTGGATATAGACATGATTTTTAATCCATTTTAAATACTTAAAGTTTTAAAAATAGAATAAAATCTCGTAGAAAAAAGAATTGCACACCAAGTGAATGCCAAATAAAATGTGCATAATAGTGCGCAATATTATTAGTACTTTATAAATTTACATTAGTTTTTTGAGAAATCAAAAATAGCGTAAATTACTACTTCAGGTCAACGGAAATTACTCAAAATTTGACAGAAGGTAGAGAATTAGATCTTTTACTTACTTGTGAAATTTCATTTATCTATCTATATATATAATTCTCTTCTTCGAGCCGTTAGAAAACAAGCTGCAAACGCTCTCCCTACCTCCCCACCCCTACATGGTTTTAGTGAGCTGTGTTCACTCTAAATGTTTACAAGCAGAGCCAACGATTTTAAACGTAGGGGGGGGGGGGGGGAGGAGGGGGGGGAGGGAAGGAAGGGGGGGGGGGGTTATGGTCCTTAACGAGCTACTTATAGTGTTTTAAAGAAATATTTTCAGTGTCAGCGTTGGTTTTGTCGAATTCACAAATTATGAATTATTGAAAATTAGAAACAACTAAATAGCGGCGTATGTTATGCCGCGGGCCGGCTCGTTTGAAATAGTACTCAAGTTATAGGCCTTTTGAAAAATTCAAAGGGAAAAAAAGTACCACTTCTGGTTATTGCTTTTTCTAAAACTAATGCTATTATATTTAGCATATAGTTATACTAGTTATAGCTCAAAGAGTAAGCTTTAAAAAAATGGCAGAAAAATTCCTGCCGTTGCCGTGGTGATGGCGTCCATTTTGGTTTTTATTAACCTTTTTAACATCAAAATAACCGAAATAACCAACTTCAATAAAAACGTACAGGTTTATAGAGACACATGTTGGTAATGTTTCTGATAGCTTACATTTTCAAATTTAAAAATATTTTTGGTTTTACCATTTTTCTGAAAATCACTTTTAAAAAATCTAAATTTGTGCAAAAAATTAACTAAAAATAGTTGTTATAAAATTTCACTGCACCTATCTTTGATTTTATAAAAATTTTGACTCATTTTTATTATAAGACAAAAAGCATTAAAAATAGTTTTTTTCACTTCCTCCTTTAGATACACTTTGTTTGTTTATAACATTGGATTTCAAGCAACTGACCGTACTTTGTGGCAACTGTTTTCCCCATTTGGTACTGTACAGAAGGTAAACATAATGTTGGACCATGAAAAGAATCAATGCAAGGGATATGGCTTTGTTACTATGACTAATTATCAAGAAGCTCAAAATGCAATTAATTGCTTAAATGGATACTTTTTTCAAGGAAGAGTTCTCCAGGTAATACTTTAACTTGCAATGCAATATTTTTTGTTACAACTAGCATGCCCCTCCTGCGGGTGTTAGAAGAAAGTCAGAGGATAGGCCGGGGGTAAACTGCATCCTACAGGGGCATCGCCGGACACGCCTGATTCATTTTAGTGAACGATTATAACACCCCATCTTATCTATAGTCTATTGCCCGGAGCGCCTACACTACCACCTAGCACGCCATGGGGTGTGCTATATTAAAGCCTTCAGTGTACGTTAATCATTGTTTTCACAGGAAAGCACAGGGCGATAAATTGAACTCTGCAGGGGTGACTTGGATGTGCCTGATTTGATGTAGTCAAAGATTATTGTTGCCTATTGTGTCTTTAGTGTATAGCCTCTTTAAAATGAACGTAAGCGCCTTACTGCTTGCGGCACACAATAGCCTGGGGGCTGTATATGTTGAAGTTTCAACGCTGAATACAGTAGTACTCCTTACCTGCTATTGCTTTTTGTATATATAGTTAGATATGTGCAATATATTTTACTGTTTGCTTTTTGGAATCTCTTAATTCATTTTGTTTTTAAATCGGTTGTGATCTGGTGAAAGCACACAATGGTGATATGCAATACAGGACTTTTCAATTTTGTTTTCATAACTGTAAAATCAGTTTAGCCTTATCTTTCTTCTTTACAGGTTAGCTTCAAAGGACAAAATCAAACTGGGCCTAACTAAGTAAGCATTTCAACTCAAGGTGTAAGAAAGATTTTTGCAGTAACTAGGCATTTTATTTGGGCACCTTTATTTGGTTATGTAAATATTTGCATATTTTTTTAAAAAAATGAAACATCAGTTTTAATATGTACTGAAACAAAAATGAAACATGATCTACCTAATTAACAATCCTTTCTCATTTTGTACATGTTCATTTAAAATGTATTTATCTATTACTTTAACTGCTACCAAATTTTATTTATCAAAACTGTCAAGCTCTTATTTCTTTTGAATAATAGTAAATTATCCTAGTTATTTTGTTTTTTAGTGAATGGTAAGAGTATTTTGTTAAATGTTATTAGTTTATGCATTTTTCTTTGTTTGTTTTTAGTTATCTACTAAATGTATTTTCTTTTGTAATTGCATATTTTTTTAAAGTTCACTTTGTGTATGAAAAATAATTTTCGGACCAAATGTAACTTTAAATTGCCTATTTAAACTGGTACAAAAAATTATGGAGATTGTGTTCATTTCACCTGTAAATAACATTTTCCAGTATGCATTAAAAGAAACTTACATGCTTCATATGTGTACTTCTTATTTTAATGCCATTCATAAAGTAGGTATTCTAATTGACGTCATTTTAGAAGGGTTTAAAAAGTAAAAAAAGGTGGGGGTCTTGCTGTAGTAATAGTTCTAGTTTTAAAACCGATATTGAAAGTAGGAATGTTTATCTACATCAGGGGTCTCCAAACTACGGCCCGCTGGCCGGATGCGGCCCGCGAAGTCCTCTCATCCGGCCCGCAGAGATCTTTTTGTCCAAGGAAAAATCGTTTGTTGGTGATGGCTGAGAAAGTTTGCCCAGAAAAATAAGACATACCTGGAAGAAACTGGCCCCCGAACTGAAATTTGATAGTTAATGCGGCCCTCGGACTGAAAAGTTCGGAGACCCCTGATCTACATGGTGATAAATTTTTGCAATCAGAAAAAATACTAGTGTAAAGCAGGGCACTAAGAGCCATGTTTTATTAGGACCCGGTCAGCACCCCACCCCCACAAAACTACAAATCTACTGTTTATTTTTAATAACAGAAGCAGAGGATTCATTTTATGTAATTAATTTATGACCAACTTGGTCCAGCAGGGAGAAGACCAGACAGGAATCAATCCTACTGCTCTTTCCCTACAATTGCTCACCTCCATAAAACCATTTTGTGAACTTTTTTTTTCCAAATAGACATAACTTACGAAACTTCACTTTGTAATAAACCAAATGAGTTTTTCAAGACCATTCTTTGTTCCTGTATTAAAGCATTGGTTGCTGTACATTTTAACACCATTTTTATAACTTGGCTGGAATAAGATTATTTTGGTGAATTTTTTTTCCACACTGATTGTTGATGCAAAAACAAAATGGCCGACTTTTGTCCGGGTTTTACCTTGCTATAAAGTTTTTATCATATCAGAGTAAAACTTGACTGATCAAAATCATAATGGTTTTATGTGTTAGATAATAACTAAATCTACATGAATACATCAATTTTGTCCATTAGCTTGCATGTTCTAGTTAATACAGATATCGTTGTGTGGCTTTTGTTGCCATTGGTGCAAGTTTATCATTTATTAAACCACTGAATATACACTGGTAATACTGGTATAGGAATAGTTAACACTAACCTTCTAAAAGCAAAATTCAGACATACTTATTACCCCTAAGGGTAAATAAAAACCTACTCTGCCTTTCTAATATATATATATGTACTAGCTGCAACCCGTGCTCCGCCACGGTAAATCTTTTTTTAAATATACCAAGTTGGGAACAGAACAAAACTAAACAACACAAACGAACGCAAAAAAAACGAAAAAACAAACACAACACTCATAACATAAACTCAATTTAAATGCAATCATAAAGGCATACTAGACTACCCGTCATCCGTAGGATAACTGGGTTTCGGGGGTCATCCATAAGAAACATCACGTCTGTCACTCAGAGGCGTAGCGACCCTTCCCGGTGCCCGCCCGGGGACAAACTTTTCGATTTGAATCCCCCCCCCTCCCGCAAGATTTCGATTTGCACCCCCCCCCTCAAACTTTTGATGTACACACCCACCCCCCATCTCAAAATGTCTTACCTCCATGATACCCAGCCCCCACCTGTTTCTAGCCCACAATAAACTTCATCTCTTTGTAGGTAACATGGATTACAGTTCTTAGATCTCAGCTAATCTGGGGTGGCATGTTATGTATGACTATCATGGTCTAGCAGGGTGGAGAACTAAGGGGAATCAGTACCACTACCCTCCCCTTAAAATTTCATTTCTCACCTCCGTGATACCCAGCCCCCACCTGTATCTAACCCACAATAAAACTTCTTTGTACAGGTATTGTACGCAGTCTGGAAAAAGTCTTGAATTTAGAAAAATGAATTTCAGACTTTAAAAAGTCTGGAAAATCGCTCGTTTTTGGGCTGGAGTTTTCTAGTTTTAGAAACAAATAGTCCACGAAGTCCATATATTCCGACTAACAAAAAATGCTATTCTTTCGTGAATTTACTCACATTTTTTTCCCCGCGGGTCTATAAAGTGTAATAACATTTTTGCTAGATTACAGAATAAACCCGATTGCTCAGTTGTTACGTCATGGGAAGGGGGAGAGAAGAGAAATATTTTTGTGCGACTGACAGTGTGGACGTGTTACAAGTATTTAAAATTGTCATTTAATGAAAGAATTATCGCCATCAGAAATGATAGGCTCTTGATTTTACCCGCTATTTTTCATCAAGTTTGTTTGAGTCTGCAGACAGGCAGTCAAAGCAGAAAATTACGGGGAAGGTGTGTAAGTGGTAGTTAAAGTATAATTTATCTATCTGTATTTTTAATCCACCTTCATGTAAACTTTAAAAAAAATATTTTTCAAATTCAAATGCTGACGATTAGGGCTAGACTAACCAGCCCCTCCTTGTAACTACTATCACTTATGTGAACTCAAAGTGACCCTAAGTACATATTTTTTACGGTGAACGGAAAAAAGTCACAGGAAAAAAAAACAGAAGAAAAGTCAGTTTTTGCAAGGAAAAAAAAGTCACAAAGGAAAAATTTAATCGGTAAAAAAGTCACAGAAATAGTCACAGAAAAAAAGTCACAAAAATCTTTTAAGAAATATTTTGATTTAATTGTTAAGAATTGTAAATTTGTGGGTGTTTATTGGCGTGGGTTGTTTCTGTTTTAGTAGCATTTTATAAACGTTAAAGCATTATGGTTTATAACAATAATACGTAAAAATAATATGACGTAATTTACACAGCAACCTCAACTTTTGCGTTAAAGCCAGCCTTTGTATCGTGTCGGCTTTCTGTTCTGATCCTATGCTTTGTTACATAATGAGCGTGATGAATGTGGTCAGAAAAGGTGGTTGAACTATTGTTGCGATGAGTTGAGGGCAGCAAGTCAGATTTGCAACGTCTTTATGCCATTTCACGCTAATTTAAAAGACACGATGAAAACCGAAAAGGCTTGAACATTCTATTAAATTATATTAAACATTATATGTATAGCGGAATTAAAACATACACACTTCATACTAAATATTTTTCCGTTTGCTATAAATATTACTATACATATACAACCTACGCACACTACATTACAGTTGGTTTGCACTCGCTGAATATTTAACACAAACAAGTTTTAACAAACCCCATGCAAAAATATAATTGATGACTTTTTTTGTGACTTTTTTTTCCCTACAATCATTTGTTACCGCTTGGCTGGGGTGGGGATGGGGGAAAAAATCACCTCACAGTTCATGCTATACTGACATATTAAGCAGGCCTACTGAAGTCTAGACTACCATGACCCCTCATTAGGAGTCGTCCATAAATGACGTCACACTCGTCGGGGGGGGGGGGGGGGGAGCAGTGTTTCTTCCAGACTTTTTTCTCCGGGGGGGCACTTGAAATCTTCGGGGGGGGGGGGGCGGTAAACTTTCTTCGGGGGGGCGGACACTGTTAAAAGTATATATTTTCTATATAAATTATATAAATTTCACTTCGTTCGGGGGGGGGGGGGGGGGCGGTAAAAATTTTTCGGGGGGGCTAAGCCCCCCCGAAGAGATGCCTGGAAGAAACTCTGGGGGGGGAGGGGGGTCCGTCATTTTGTGACGGTTGTGTGATGTGGTGGGGGGGGGGGGGGGGGTTCAGATGGTGTGACGTCACATTTTTGCATTATAAAAAGGCAATGTTAGAAAACGAGTTTTAGCCATTAATTCGGATTTTAGAAAACGGTTTTAATAAATTGTTTTGTAATAGGAATTTATCAAAATACTCTATTTTGACAGAGTTCTGACAAGATTTTGGAAAAATATCGATGTTTTTAGAAAAATTCAACAGTAGTTTTGAGGGGGGTTGTAGGCTGAGGTGTGACGTCATTTTAGGGGAGGGGTCTGGCTTTTTGTGACGACATGTGACGGAGGGGAGGGGGGAGGTAAAAATCGTCAAAAAAAAGCGTGACGTCATTTATGGATGACCCCTTGGCCCTTTTACCGTGTTTTTTTTTGTGGGAAAAGGGGGGGGGGGGGTTATTGGCAGTTTTTTCTCAGCTATAGCATAAATAATGAATGATGTAGTTATTTGCACGGCCTGCGGAATGTTTTTTTTTTTTTTTTTGGCTCCAATTTTTCTTTTCAATTAACCTTTTATTTTCAAAACACTATTCATTAGATCTAGGACCTAGGGTAAATAAGTCTAAGAGCAGACGTCAATTAGTAAATTACTTTATTATAATTCTTTTTAAGTAATTAACAACACTATTTTAGTGATAGTTTGTAGGTAACATGGACTTTGTTCTTAGATCTCAGCCAACCAGAACAAATGGGAGAACAAAGGGGAAATCAGTACCACTGCTCTCCCCTCACAATTTCTCACCTCCATGTCATGTTAGGTAATGTATAGTACACATAGCTTATCAGGAGAAAGCATCAAGGCAGATTAGTTAGTATCACCAGTTTCTTCCAGGCATCTCTCCCCCCCCCCCCTCCCGGAATGAAATGGAATTTATATAGAAAATATATACTTTTAACAGTGTTCGCCCCCCCCCCCCGAAAATTTCAATTGCCCACTCCCCCGGAGAAGAAAGCCTGGAGAAACACTGTGTACCAGGGGCGTAGCGAGGGGGGGGGGTGCGGACCGCACCGGGTGACACCATTTAGGGGGGTGACACCAAGGCAAAAAATAGCAAAATATATAGAGAAAAACTTGAGGGGGGGGGGTGCAAATCGAAAACTTGAGGGGGGGGGGTTGCAAATCGAAAACTTGAAAGTTTGTCCCCGGGAAGGGTCGCTACGCCTCTGAAGGGTGACACCATTAAGTGTCGCACCGGGTGACACCCGACCTCGCTACGCCACTGCTGAGTACCACCCCTTTTTACATCCAAGTATCTTAACTCTGGACAGCTACACACTATGTATACTAATGTGCCTACTATAAACTACTAGACTGTGGGCCCTATGTAGACTACAAATGTAAAGCACTAGTAGTAGCTCGCGATATTTGAAATACGATTATCTGCCCCTTCGCAACGCACGTGG